CTCCAGGACTCAGGTGAGTGACCATACCATCATGGTTTTCTGGGTCATTAAGCTTTTTTGTACACTTCTGTGTATTCTTATTATCTTTTCTTAATCTCTTCTGTTTCTGTTAGGTCCTTGCCATTTTTGTCCTTTATTATGCCTATCTTTTTGCATGAAATGTTCCCATGGTATCGCCAATATTCTTAAAGAGATCTCTAGTCTTTTCCATTCTATTGTTTTCCTCTATTTCTCTGCATTGTTCACTTAAGAAGGCTGTCTTATCTCTCCTTGCTATTCTCGGGAATTCAGCATTCAGTTACATATATCTTTCCCTTTCTCCTTTACCTTTCGTTTCTCTTCTTCTCTCAGCTATTTGTAAGGCCTCCTCAGACAACCCCTTTGCCTTCTTGCATTTCTTCTTGCAGATGGTTTTGGTCACCACCTCCTTTACAGTGTTAGAAACTTCCATCAGGCACTCTGTCTACCAGATCTAGTCCCTTGAATCTATTTGTCACCTCCACTGCACGTATAATCATAAGGGATTTGATCGAGGTCATAACTGAATGGCCTAGTGGCTTTCCTTACTTTCTTCAATTTGAGCCTGAATTTTGCAATAAGAAGTTGATGATCTGAGCCACAGTCAGCTCCAGGTCTTGTTTTTGCTGATCATACTGAGCTTCTCCATCTTCGGCTACATCTTAGTTTTCTAGATCATACTTAATGACGGAAACAAAATTTATACTGATACTTACAACAATTACATCATTACATCAAGATGGTAAAAAAATGGCAAATAAGTGAAGTTTCCACACGACAATTGAAGCAGTAAAATGCTGATACCAGGAGACTGCTGTAAGTCACATATACACTAGTAATAACTACAACAGCCACTACAAAATCTATACCAAAACAGACTCAAAACTATAAATAAATATTTTACAATTTATGAAAGACAGGATCTTAAAAAATGTTTTAGTAATCTGCAGGATGGAAAGAAAAGAGAAACAAATGAAAAACCAGGGAAAAATAATAATAATAATAAAAAGGCAGATTTAAGTGTTAATATCTATCAGTAATTACCTTAAATGTTGATGGTCTAAACAGACAAATCAATAAAGACTGGAAGAATGTATTTCTGAAATGGCCCACTATATGCTACTAACAAGAAATTCAGTAACAAATATTGAAAGTAAAAAGAATGGAAAAGCTAGTAGGGTTTGTTTGTCTGTTTTTCATCAGACAGGCTGTATTAATAACACAACTAACCAACAGGGTCAGCTTGATATACATAGAATAGTCCACCCAACAGCAGAATTTCTTTTCAAACATCCATGGGATATTCACAAGGACATTTATATCCTGAGCCATAAAACAAATGTCAACAAAACAGTATGGAGCTTCCTCAAAGAATTAAAAACAGTCGCCATATGATCCAGCAATACCACCTCGGAGTATGTATCCAGATAAAATTATAATTTGAAAAGATTACATGCACCCTTATGTTCATAGCAGCACTACATACAACAGCCAAGACATCGAAGCAATTTAAATGTCCATCAACCAATGAATGGATAAAGATGATGTCGTATAGATACACAATTGAATACTACTTGGCCATTAAAAAAGAATGAAATAACACCATCTGCAATAACATGGATGAAAAGTGAAAGTGAAAGTCACCAAATCGTGTCCAATTCTTTGCCACTCCATGGACCAAACAGCCCATGGAATTCTTCAGGCCAGAATACTGGAGTGGGAAACTATCCCTTCTCCAGTCAATCTTCCCAACCCAGGCCTTCTGAATTGCTGGAGGATTCTTTACCAGCTGAGCTACCAGGGAAGTCCATAGTTACACAATGGAATACTACTCAGTCATAAAAAAGGAATGAAATAACACCAACTGCAGTAACAAGGATGAACCTAGAGATTATTGTATTAAGTCAGAGAGAAAAAGACAAATACCACATAATATCACTTATATGTGGAATCTAAAATACAACACAAATGAACAGATCTACTTAACAGAAACAGACCCACTCACAGATGGAGAGAAAAGACTTGCGGGTGCCAAGGGGAGGCTGAAGGTGGGCGAGTGATGGATTGGGAGTTTTGGATTAGCAGATGCAAGCCAGTATATGGGCTTCCCTGGTGGCTCAAGATAGTAAAGAATCTGCCTGCAATGTGGAAGACTCAGGTTCAATCCCTGGGTCAGGAAGATACCCTGGAGAAGGAAATGGCTACCCACTCCAGTATTCTTGCCTGGAAAATTCACGGACAGAGAAGCCTGCCAAGCTACACGGGATCACAAAGAGTTGGACATGACTGAGCTACTAACAACCAGTATATATAGAAAGGATAAACAAGAAAGTCCTACTATCTAGCACAGGGATATTCAATATCCTATGAAAAACCATAATGGAAAAGAATATGAAAAAGAATATATAACTGAGTCACTTTGCGATACAGCAGAAATTAACACAACATTGTAGTACAACTATACTTCAATAAATTTTTTTCTCCCCTGAAAATGTGACCTGTGAAAGACATCTCAAGACATAGAAATCTCTGCAAACCATATATCTGACAAAGGTCTTATATTTGGAATATACAAAGAACTCTTGAAGCTCAAAAAAATGTAAAAAAAAAAAAGACTAAAAAATGAGCAAAAGATATGAACAGACAACAAATAAGTACATGCAAAGATGTATAGTATCATTATCCATTAGGAAATGCAAATTAAATCTACAGTAAAATATCACTATACACCCATTAAAACAGCTAAAATAAAAAATAACAATACTAATGAATGCTGAAAAGGATGCAGAAAATGTCTCATACATTGCTGACAGGAATGTAATATGTAATGTAATATGGTACACCACACTGAAAAACAGTTTGGAAATTTCTTATAAAACTAAACATGTGTGCATCCAAGTGTATGCATGCTCAGTCAGTTGTGTCCGACTCTTTGCAACTCCATGGGCTATAACCCACCATGGGATCCCATGTAGCTCGGTCCACGGGGTTTCCCAGGCAAATACTGGAGTGTTGCCACTTCTCCTGGGCACCCAACCCAGGGACTGAACCATCATCTCCTGTGTCTCCTGCATTGTAGGCAAATTCTTTAATCACCGAGCCACATCCTTTTCAATTCAACCCAGGAAGCTCACTCTTGGGCATTCATCTCAGATTACTGTATGCAAATAAAATCCTATATATAGGGACTTCCTCAGTGGTCCAGCAGTTAAGACTCCATGCTCCCAATGCAGGGGGCAAAGGCTTACTCCCTGGTCAGGGAACTAATATCCTGCATGCCTCAGTCTTAAAAACCTGTACATGAATGTACGTAATCACTTTATCATTAATAGCAAAACACTGACTATACCAAAAGTCCTTCAACAGTAAACAACGCATTAATATATCATTAGAAACCATTCTTGACATGACAAAACTACAGAGATAGAAGACAGGTCACCAGGGGACAGGGAGGGGTTTTGGGGTAGGATGCCAATATAAAGGGTAGTAAAGAGGGATTTTCTTTGTGGTAATGGAATAGTTCTGTAACTTCACTGTTGTGATAGCTTCATGAAGTTGTATATAGGAGAAAATCACAAAGAACTATAAATCCACAAATGAATCAAGATTAAAAAATGGTGAAATAAGACAGCCAGTGGGAATTTGCTATACGACACAGGGAGATCAACCTGGTGCTCTGTGACAACCAAGACGGGTGAGATGGGGTGGGAGGGAGGCTCAAGAGGGAGGGCACATGTGTATACCTATGGCTGATTCATGCTGATGTATGGCAGAAACCAATACAATATTGTAAAGCAATTATCCAAAATAACTAAATTTTTTAAAATGCTGAGAACTGATTAAGTTTGGTAATTTCTGTAACACTAATGTATTAATATCAATGTCAATTTCCTAACTTTGATGTCTTATTAGTCCTTTATAAGATGTCACCACTGGGGGGAAGCTGGGTAAAGGATACACAGGACTCCACTGTTTGCAACTTCCTATGAGTTTATAATTATTTCAAATTAACATGTTTTTAAAAATCATGTGAGTTGAGAGACAGGGCACATAAGCACAGATGAAATTAAGACTGTCCATTAATTGCTAACTGTTGAGACTAGTTTGGTACACAGCAGTTCATAAGAATGCTGCATTTTTTATCTTTTTAAATTTTTCATAATAAACAGTTAACAAAAATATAAGATGCCGTATATCAAAACATTAACAGTAGTGTATTCCAGTTAGTGATTTTATTCTTTTTGCTAAAAAGCATTTAAAATTTTTCTGTAAAATAAATTTCTTGTATTTCTTAAATAAAACAATTTTTTTTAATCTTTGCTCATACTGGTCTTCTGTCCTACTTGTTTTTCTCATTTTTAAAAAGCAGCACCAGAGAAAACATTGTTTAACTTAAAAAGAACTTCATATTTCTTCCTCCAGCAATACAGCACTTAATTTAAAATACCCAATTTAAATCTAAATATCCAATTTAGATTTCATCCAATTGCATTTCACATGAAAGTTCCAGTATCTTTTTCTAAAATTAACTGAAAGAATCTTGCTAAAATAGATTTACAATCAGTACAATAACTGACCATTATAGTAATCCTCATAAAACAGATGTCTAAATTCAAGACACCCTAAGACACTTTAACAATTCTAGCTGGGTTTGCATCTGCAATATTGCCAACGACATCCTAATTAACTCCAAATTGTTTTCAAATTTTATGTGGCATTTTTTAATTTTTCAAATTTTTTTTAAAAAGACGATGCTGAAAAGTTTACAACGGTTAACAAAACCATGCTGAAGAATTCAACGTGGGAACACAAAAAAGTAACAATGATTTAGTGAATATTGAGATTCTCATGATGCAATTTTAAAAATTTTAATTATTTAAATTTATCAACCAAAAGTTATAAAATACCATTTCCCTCAGTAATAATTAAAATTAATTTTAATTAAGTAAATTAAAATTAAATTATAATAGAAATAACAATACCTGAGCTCTCCATATCCGTAGGACCTTGGGTAAGTCACAGTCTTTTTGAAACTGTTTCCTTATACACATACTCAGAGTTATACTTGTTAATCTTTCAGCTCCAAAATCCTATTAACTGGTGCTCTAAAATATACTTCATAACCTCTGACCCATGATCATTCTAATGACAACTCTAAGAAAAGATTTGTAACAGATGTGATATAGATACCAATTACATGACAAATTATAAGTAGAATATCATCCACAATAATTAAATCAGGGCTTCTCAACATCAACACTACTGACACTGCACTGGGATAACTCTCTGTTGTGGGGGTTATCATGTGCATTGTGGGATGTTTAGTATCTACCCACTAGATACCAACAGAATCCCCCAGCATGACAACCAAAAATGTCTTCAGACATTGCCAAAACAATCTCTCATGGAGAACTGTATTAAGATTAAAAATTTGCAGGGTCCTTTGGAGATGAGAAGCAGGAAGAAGAGAGACTGTTTCTGTGACACAGGAGGAAAAGTATAAGGAAAGACTAGGAATGAACAAAACAAATAATAGCTAGTAATTATAATGAAAATAGCAATACAGAAAGCTGAGGAGAAAATTCACAGGTATTCCATCAGGACCTTTGTAAGCATTTTCAATAAAGACTGCTGAAGATTTTTTCTCAGAAATTAATATGAAATTAACATAATTCCTCTTCTCCCTAGCATTTTTGAGGCTAAACATCCTCAAGTTACCAACTATTCTTCAACCACTGAGAACACCCACTTGAAAAACACATCCCCCCCAGTTAAATATAATAAGCATCTATGTTTTAATCAAATGTAAATATGCTACAAATGCCATAAAAAGCAACATGAATATCCTCAAATCCTTTATGTATTTAAAGAATGGAGAAATGACAGAAATCTACAGAGATTAAACGTTCACACGTTCCCTTTCTGGCTCTTTAATACTAGTATAAAATCAACTCGGCCATATTTTCCACCAAACAGACAAATACCCAGTTTCCTTAGTCTATTCTTGGATAGGTCACCAGACTGGGAATAAGAGACCCAGAGTCTATTCCCAGCTGCAAACAGACTGGTAATCTCAAGCAAATTATTCACTCAGGTTAAGGTTCTACACCCATATTACGCTGACAATACTGAAAATCTGCCCAGAAACAAGCACTGAGAAACCTAGGGCTTCTTCCTGCACCCAAAGGCCAACTGCAAACGTATTTTTAGATTTCTTAAATCTAAAAATCTGAATAGGATTTTATTTATAGCAACATTTAACATACTTGAAATTTCAAAACTGTGTGGTGTGGTGCCTTTATCACTGCCCTTTGTAAAATTAGTAAGAAACGCTCTTTTTAAACTCCATGCCCAACTGTGTAAAACTCTATATGCAAACTACACCGATCATAATTTATGTTAAAAAAAAAAAAAAAGCTGTTTTCAATGCAAGCTCTTGGGAAGGGCTTTAACTTTTTCATTTCCTAACTTTATCTAGTCTCCAACACAAGTAGTTCTTTCCTGGCACTGTAAAAAGTGCTTCACGAAGTCTGGAGAGACAAAGTGTGCCCTATAGCCTAATTCTGGAAAGGCCTTTAGGGCTGTTCTTACCACTAAACACGCAGGTTTTAGTAGCGCAACCAATATACGGATAGGTACAAGCGTACATTTTTTTGCTCTTTATACCAAGTAAAAAAAAGTGTCTCGTAGACCCAAGCTACCCGTCTGACCTTTTCGCACACCGTAAAACTGTAAACACAATACAGACCAACATAAGATTTGTAAAAAAAAAAAAAAAAACAGGGTTAGGACCGAAAGGAGGGTGTCAATTAACGTCCGTCGGCCCCCGCTGTCAGGCAGACACTTGTTAGCCGCCGAGAAGTCACTCACAAAGTTTGCCATCTCGCTGGGGGAAGGGGCCCGGACTGCGCCGCGGGCCCCGACCCGGAAGACGGGTGTCTGCAAGGCCCCACCGCCCGCCAAGGCCCGGGCGCGACAGCCACCCCACCAGGAACAGCCCCAGCTTCGCGGCCCCCCTCCGCCGCCTCCCTGCCCACGGGCGCACTCACGCGCGCGCGCGCGCACTCTCACTCCCGTACACACAACAAAAGGAAGCGGTGCGAGCCGCGTGCGGAGCTTTGCTCGGGCGCTCAGGGAAGCCCCTCCTCCCGGCCCCCCCGCGCCGCCCCGGGCCTGCTCGCTCGCAGGAGCGCCCCCCGAGGGCCCGAGGGTGCGCGGATCCCTGAGGCTCGAGTCCCACCGGCCCGGCCCGCCTCCACTCCGCTCGGCCGCGCTCGCAGGCAGCTGCGGCGGCTCTGGGCCCACAATGCGCGCAGCTCCGCCTGCCGCTGGGCCGAGATCCGGCGAAATGCCGCGCGGGCGAGCCTGGGCTCCCTACATCCCGGTTTTCTTAATAAAACTATTACAGGGAATTATCCTTGGTAAAAGTCCCCTCCACACCGAACCACTATCAAAAGCAGTATTTAACACAACATTCCTTACAATAAATCTTTTCCAGTAACCTCTTCTTCAATCCTTCCTCTTAACTCTTCCACACCTTAGTTTACTCCTTTTACTTTTTTTCCCTTGCCTTCCTGTTTGCAACCTATGCGCTGCATTTTCTCAAAAGATTTTCACTAAACCGTCTTTTCAATTTTACCCTTTTGAAATTTCCTTTTCTAATAATAACAAGCTTTCTCCTAAATCCCTTCCATTACATCTCCCACTTACCTACACAAACTTGTCCACAAATACCTTCTTTAATTTTTATCAGCATCTACCAAGTCAATTCATAAATAACTTCCTCAGGCACTGCATTTTTTGTTTGATCCTACAATCCCTCAAAGCTAACATCCCCCAACTTAACACACAAATTTGCCCAAAATTGCCCTCAAATTTTGTGAAACTGTGCCAGACAGGCCACCAAAGTCACTGAAAATTCTACTTCCTAAACATACCCCCCAATAACTTAACCATCTTTCCAACTACTCTACCAATTCATCTGAATCACTTATAACAAGACTACCATGTTTATTTCCCCAAAGACTCTAATTATAAAACCTAATCAAATTAACACATTATCTCTTATCATTGTATGTATCTACACATGCAGGTGTGTATGTATGTGTTGACAAGTATACAGGGCACCCTGCAAAACAGCAACTGTGTATGTCATTCTAATCCCTTATATATTGGATCCTCTCAAATTTACAAGGAAAACTCCTTCACATGAACCAAGATTTTCAGACATCCAATCCCTATCTTGTGAAGTCATTTATCTATGTTAAATTAATTTATCACTTTAAAACATACTGTCTCCATTTCTACTATAATCATTCTTCATACCTTAAAGATATCCATTGTTGGTCTAACCCACACAATCCACTCAAAGACTCAGAACATACCCCTACTCGCCAAGGCCCAGTGATGTCTAAGTCAGGTCCTAGAAACAATTCTAGACCATTGGCAGATTATAGTAAAGTTGTGAATTGAACAAGTGACATCCTTGGGCCATCTTAGGCCTTCAAAGCTCTGGGTGGTCTCCATAGGTTCTTCAGTATTAAATCTGGTGACTTACTAAATGTAGAAATAAGAGAAAAAGGCTGAATGACCCAGAGCTAGATTCTGAAACTAATCCTGAAGCAAAGCTGCACTAGGACGGAAAACCAATACTGTATTTCATGCTTTGTCATATTTTTCTCACTGCCACTAAATAAGCTCTCTCTTGTCTGGCTGAGTGGCATTGCTGTGCACCTGAAACTATCACAATTTTGTTAATTGGCTACACTCCAATATAAAATAAAAAGTTAAGTAAATAAATAAACATGCTCTCTCTCCATGAAACATAAAGGAACATCAAAAACCCTGACCTGAACAGGGAGGGTCAGGAAATATTCTTTGCTCAGAGACTGAAAGATGAAAGAGTTCATTAACCATGTGAAGAATATATAATGCAAATAGTAAGGATTTGAAGCATACAGCATTTTTCCCTTAATGGTTTAAAATGCCAATTACTGGGACCAGAGCAAGGTACTAATGGAGAAACTCTAAAAGCACAGTTAGGTAAGCACTTGAGAGTCAAGTCTTTGATAGTACACGACAAATGTTAACAGAAGACAAAGTCTGACAAAAATCAATTCTACTGTATAAAAGGACAAGCAAAAGTTTAAGAGCAAAGATGCAAGCCAAAACACTGAAGGCCTGGTCTAGGTCTTGTTCAGTCACGCAGTTGTGTCCAACTCTGCAACCCCATGGGCTACAGCACGGAAGATGATGAAGGTTTCAAGCCCTGAGGTGATAATGCTGAAGATTTACACCAAAACAAAAAAGGAAGCAATGGTTCAGTTTTAGCTATATTTTGGTTTTGGAATTGGCAACACGGCTCCTCTAGAAATGTTCAATAAATGATAATTAGAAATAAAACAGGAAACCATATTTAGAACCATACATTTATATGCTCTCTCTTGTAGGGCTGAGTCGAGTTGCCATGCACCTGAAACTATCACAACATTGTGAATCGGCTACAGTCTAAAATAAGAAGTTAAATAGAAGTATTTTTTCAGATAATAAATGAAATGAGAAGACCGAGCAGATCAACTTCCTAAACACACTAAGAAATACATCAGATAAAAGTCACAGACAAAAACAAGAAACTACAGAAGCCACTTTAGATTCCTTGGGACACTTCCTTACCATCCACCCCATGTTTCCCATTTTATACCTGAACCTCTTTACACATACAAATTATCACCACACAATTTTTGCAGAATTGTGGTTTTTGAAGCATTCAAGTAGAGATCAAAAATCTCAATGTCCCTATCATTATTTTTTAAAAAACAATTATACATGACATAGTATCTATCATCTTTATAATAACATCATGGGTAGTAAGGACTGTCCTTACATGCACAGAGAAGGAAGAGGGTTCTGGCTTTGTTTCCTAGGTCGCATTATGTTTTCTCCATATTTTCTCTATTACAAGCTACTCACTGTCCTCTTCTTCTTACTTATTCCTATTTAGGTCAACTCCAATCTCTTTTTTTTTAATTTATGTATTTTTTATTTGAAGGATAATTGCTTTACAGGATTTTGTTGTTTTCTGTCAAACCTCAACACGAATCAGCCATAGGTATGTATACATATATTCCTTCCCTTTTGAACCTCCCTCCCATATCCCTCCCCATCCCTCCCCTCTAGACTGGTAACAGGGTCAACTCCAATCTCTTCATTCACTTCTATCCATTTACTAGCTTCTATCAGCTTGTCCATGTTCTATTGTCAATAAATTACTCCATGTCTTTTGACTTTCATATTAGTAACCTCCACCTCAGCTTTCTTCCCCCTTTGTCTCCTTTCTAAATCCACAAATATCTCTCAGTTGAATTTATCTCAGTATACTACACATAAATGGTTATGATTTTGCAAGTATAATTTATTTATAAAAACCTTAAAGAAGGAGTGAATGTAACAAATCCATCTTTTTATCTCCATCCTCATGCTACAACAACCCAGATCACTACCATCTCTTATCTGGATAGCCCCTCATCTTATCTCGTTTGGCTTTTCTTGGACAACCAGCTTCACAGAACTTAGCTATCCATTCTTCCACTCCTTCAGCTTGATAAAAGCACTAATTGCTTTTTGTTCCCCAAGCCCACTCCCATTGTTCTATCACTAAAAAATCTCTTTGCAGTTCACATTACTCTTAAACCATTCCATCTGCAGCATCTACCAAGCTCCAGAATCCCTCCCACCTTGCTCCCCACAAAGACTTCAGTCCTACTTTGTCCCACATTCAGCCACTATTCTCAGTGAGCGAGGTGCTGAAGACCTTTCTGCACACTACACTGACCTTCCTCAACTCCTAAAACCTGCACCTGCACTTCAGCCCCTTACACATATATACTAAAAACAGGTCAGCAACTGGAAGTGCAGTGCCACTAGGACTAACTTTAGAGACCTTTTTTTTTAACCACCACTACTTTATTTTCTAGGTCTACACCTGCTCTTCACCTCCTTCTGGCTTCACTTATCTCCCTACACAATTTAAATCTGTCCATCAACCATTTTAATACGGCCCTCTCCAGAATATCATGATTTCCCATTACATTCACCATGCATTTCCCCAAGGAAAGACAATCTTCACCATCTGTTTTTTCCACACCCACACACTGGGTGTTAAGCATCACCAGAAAGCTACGAAATCTTCTACAACTGACTTATTCTAAATACAACTCTCCATCTCATTGACTAATCCAAATCATTTTCATATTTAAATCCTTAATCTTATCAAATAATCTCTTCCATAAAATTCTCTCAGATCACAATTTCTCCACCTGTAATCAAATCCTCTTTATAAGCTTCTAAAATGCTGTATCTTTTCATCCATCTGTTACTTCTTGCCTTCAGTTTTGGAAGAAGAGTTGTTCCTCCTTCTTAAAATAAACTTAAGACAATTCCAATAGCTGATGCTTCCATATTCTCCCAACTCACTCAGTCCTTTAACCCTATGGACCCTGATCTCCAAACTATTCTCTTGAAGACCAAAAAAATTCCATGTACCAAATCCTATGGCTCACCACCCAAGTTCTTATTCTTTTTGGCAATGACACTTGAACTACCTCCTTTGATTTAAATCGCTGTATCACAGGATTCTGGGGCTTCCTAGGTGGCGCTAGTGGCAAAGAATCATCTTGCCAATGCAGGAGACATGAAGAGGCATGGGTTTGATCCCTGGGTCTGGAAGATCCCCTGACCAGGGAATGGCTACCCACTCCAGTATCCTTGCCTGGAGAATCCCATGGACAGAGAAGCCTGGCAGACAACAGTCCATAGGGTAAAAAAAGAGTCAGACACAACTAAAACGACTGAACATACACGAATGCACACACAACACAGAATTCTACTCCGGTCTCTCTGGTCGCTTCTTCTGTCTCCAATGACTACCAATCAGTCCTCTTT